TGAGACGGAGTCTCACTCTGTCGCCAGGCTGGAGTGCAGTGGCGGCAATCTCGGCTTCACTGCAACCTCCACCTCCGGGTTTAAGTGATTCTCTGCCTCAGCCTCCCAAGGTAACTGGGACTACAGGTGCCCACCACCACACCCAGCTAATTTTTGTATTTTTCTACAGACAGGGTTTCACCATGTTGGCCAGGATAGTCTCGATCTCCTGACTTCGTGATCCACCCACCTCGGCCTCCCCAAAGTGCTGGGATTACAGGCATGACCACCGCGCCTGGCCTGATTCTAATCTTTAAAAAAACACAAGGAGGGGCCGGGCATAGTGGGCTCATGCCTGTAATCCCAGCACTTTGGGAGGCCGAGGCAGATGGGTCATGAGGTCAGGAGATCGAGACCATCCTGACTAACACAGTGAAACCCCATCTCTACTAAAAATACAAAAAATTAGCTGGGCGTGGTGGCACATGCTTGTAGTCCCAGCTATTCGGGAGGCTGAGGGAAGGAGAATTGAACCCAGGAGGCAGAGGTTGCAAGTGAAATAAATAAATACATAAATACATAAATAAAATAATAAATACATCAAAATAAACACAAGGAGACCTGGTGCAGTGGGTAACACCTGGAGTGCTTTGGGAGGCCAAGGCAGGAGGACTGCTTAAGGCCAGGAGTTCAAGACCCTCCTGGGCAACACAGCAAGACATCTCTAAAAACATTTAAAAAATTAACCAGGTCTGGTAGCACACATCTACTAGGGTCACTCTTCAGCCCAGGAGTTTAAGGTTGCACTGAGCTATGACTGTGCCATTGCACTCTAGCCTGGATGACAGAGCCAGACCCTGTCTCTTTTTTTGTTGTTTTTTTTCTCTTCAGACAGAGTCTGGCTCTGTCACCAGGCTGGAATGCAATGGCGTGATCTCAGCTCACTGCAACCTCTGCCTCCTGGGTTCAAGCGATTCTCCTGCCTCAGCCTCCTGAGTAGCTGGGACTACAGGTGTGCTCCATCATGCCTGGCTAATTTTTTTATTTTTAGGAGAAACTGGGTTTCACCGTGTTGGCCAGGCTGGTCTCAAACTCCTGGCCTCAAGTGATCTATCTGCCTGTCTCGGCCTCCCAAAGTGCTGGGATTACAGACTTGAGCCACTACACCTGGTAGAGACCCTGTCTCTTAAATAAAAACCAGAAAACACAAAGAGACAGATTATCTAGGATCTTCTGCCTTTTCTCTAGAGAGATGAGGTAACATTCAAAATTTTATGTGTAAGGTTTAATAAAACACGTAAGAGAAAATGACATTCTGGTAAAGAGCCAAAATAACTGTTGTGAGCATATTTGGTTTTAAGTTTTCTGACAACCAAGGCAAAGATGAAAATCTGATTAGTCATGTTATCAGCCTTGTTTTCAAAGGAAGAGGTGTATCAATTCATCAATGTAAGAATTTGCCTATAGATGTTTTCCTCTTGTCTCAAATACCACCTTGGTCTCAGTTCCAATTTTCACACCAATCACCAAGCACAGGATTGCCTTGGATTCATACTCACCCCCATTTCTTCTTCCCGTACCACATACTGGGCCACTTTGAATGAGCTCAAATATTCATTCATGCCCTGCAATTCTGTGTCTTCAGTCTCATCCTGGTTACGGTCCAGCAGCCGTTCAATGGCCTTATCATCATAGTGGATAACACTGCTATCTTCTCCCTCTTTGTTGTCTCCTCCTATAAAAAATCAAGGGTCCACATCCCCAAAGTCAGCTTCAGCAGCTGCAGTGGAAAAAGCAAGTCCCACAAGACCCTTGGTATCAAAGATTCTCCCTAACCTTTAGAGAGGCCAAGCCCCACACCAAAATGTAAGTTCCTGACTAGCTCACCTCCATCAGTGGCTTCATCCTTGAAAAGTTCCTCAGTGCCAAATTTGAGGATATCATCAAGCTCCTGTTTGGACATAGATCCAGTCTTGGAGCCCAGCCCAGGCCGTACCACTAGATGCGTCAGCATCATTTTCTTCTTTGCCACCTGCGTGATGCGCTCCTCAACTGACGCACGGGTCACAAACCGGTAGATCATTACCTTTTTATTTTGCCCAATCCGGTGAGCTCTGCTAAAGGCCTGGAGTTGAGCAGGAAATAAAGCCAGAAATTGTATTTTCCTGGTGCCACTCTTATCCTGACTTCCACATAGTATTCTAAATTCGGCACAAGACAAGGTCTACAGCCTGCCCTCATAGGAAACTTCCTTTTGCACCCCTGCCTCCAGACACCACCCTCTAACATGTTACCCAAAATAGGACCACAGCTAACCAAATTCTCTGGCTTACAATAAGGTAAACAACACAAAAAGAATCTGTTGTTTCTCACCTAAAAACCTAATTCCAGATGGTAGAGTGCTCATAGAGGCCACTATGCCTCTAACATGTTACTTATTAAGGCTGCCTGCTGCCTCTGCTCACCTGAATGTCATTATGGGGGTTCCAGTCAGAGTCATAGATAATAACTGTGTCAGCAGTGGCCAGATTGATTCCAAGGCCCCCAGCTCGAGTGGAAAGCAAGAAGCAGAACTGCTGAGCACCTGGTGCTAATAAAGGAACCAAAAACACCATTAGAAGTGTCTCCTAAATTCCAATTCACAAATGTAGTTTAAAAAATTAAGCCGGGGCGGTGGCTCAAGCCTGTAATCTTAGCACTTTGGGAGGCAGACACAGGTGGATCATTGGAGTTCAAGACCAGCCTGGCCAACATGGTGAAACCCTGCCTCTACTAAAAATACAAAAATTAGCCAGGCATGGTGGTGTACACCTGTAGTCCCAGCTACTCGGGAGGCTGAGGCAGGAGAATCGCTTGAACCCGGTAGGCAGAGTTTGCAGTGAGCAGAGATTGCACCACTGCACTTCAGCCTGGGCAACAGAGCGAGAGACTCCATCTCAAAAAAAAAAAAGAAAAATTAGCTGGGCATGGTGGTGCACACCTGTAGTCCCAGCTACTCAGGAAGTTGAGGCAGGAGAATCACTTGAGCCCAAGAGTTCAAGGTTATAGTGAGCTTTGTGCTACTGCACTCCAGCCTGGGCAACAGAGCAAGACCCCATCTCTTAAAGAAAAACGTCAGAATAGGCCAGGTGCAGTGGCTCACGCCTATAACCCCAGCACTTTGGGAGGCTGAGGTGGGCAGATCACCTGAGGTCAGGAGTTCGACATTAAGCTGGCCAACATGGTGAAATCCTGCCTACTAAAAATACAAAATTAGCCAGGCATGGTGGCAGTCACCTGTAATCCCAGCTACTTGGGAGGCTGAGGCAAGAGAATCGCTTGAACCCAGGAGGCGAAGGTAAAAAAGAAAGAATGTCAGAATATAAAACCTCATAGGCAAACACCACAGTAATAATCATTGTAAGCAAAGTCCACTGATGGATACTAAAATCAGTGTGAAAGTTTAAGGAGAAACAGGACACTGACACAGTCTCAAATATCTCCCTCAAGCTATTTATGTGATTACAATTGGGAACAAGAGAAACTTTACACTGCAGAAACTCAACAAACACCACCTTAACCAGTGATCAAGTCATTACCAGTAAGGGGACATAACACACGTCCGTGCCGCAGTATGATGCATTGAAAAGGAAACATCATCGGCCGGGTGCAGTGGCTCACAAGGTCAGGAGATCGAGACCATCTTGACCAACATGGTGAAACCCTGTCTCTACTAACAGTACAAAAATTAGCTGGACATGGTGGCGGGCACCTGTAATCCCAGCTACTCGGGAGGCTGAGGCAGGAGAATGGCTTGAACCTGGGTGGAGGTTGCAGTGAGCCAAGATCACACCACTGCACTCCAGACTCCAGCCTGGTAACAGAGCAAGACTGTCTCAAAAAAAAAAAAGAAAAGAAAAGAAAAGGACACAACATCACCTCTGTGGCATTCTTGCACAAAATGTCTAATTTAATCAAGAGAAAACATCACACAAACCCAAACTTAGAGCCATGCTACAAAATAACTGACCAGTGTTCATCAAAAGTATCTATATTGACCGGGCACAGTGGCTCGCACCTGTAATCCCAGCACTTTGGGAGGCCAAGGCAGGTGGATTACCTGAGGTCAGGAGTTCGAGACCAGCCTGGCCAACATGGTGAAACCGTCTCTACTAAAAATACAAAAATCTGCTGGGCATGGTGACGCACACCTGTAATCTCAGCTACTCAGGAGGCTGAGACAGAAGAATCGCTTGAACCCAGGAGGCACAGGTTGCAATGAGTCAAGATCGTGCCACTGCACTCCAGTCTGGGCAACAGAGTGAGACTCCATCTCAAAAAAAAATCTGTATCATGTAAGAAAAGGAAAAAAAATAAATGTCATAGATAGCAGGAAGCACAATAACTAAATGGAACATGGGACCTGGGATTGGATCCTGAAACAGAAAACAGACATCAGGAAAAACTGGTGACATCCATTGAAGGTCTGTCATTTATGGTATAATACCAATGGTAATTTCCTAGTTTTGATCATTGTACTGCAGTTATGTAAGTTATTATTAAGAGAAGCTAGCTAGTTGAACAGTATACATGAGCTCTCTGTGCTGTTCTGTAACTTTTTTCTAAGTCTAAAATTAAAATAAAAAGTTTTTTTGAAACAAGTAGTAGTGACACTGAGTACAGTGGCTTATGCCTATCATCTCAATACTTTGGGAGGCCAAGGCAGGAGGACTGCTTGAGCCCAGAAGTTTGTGATCAGCCTGGACACATGGCAAGACCCTATCTCTTCAAAAAATTTTTTTTAATTAGCTAGGTACAGTGGCTCAAGCCTATAGCCCCAGCTAGTTGGGAGGCTGAAGCAGCAGGATCACTTAAGCCTGGATGTGGGTCCAGGTTGTAGTAAGCCATGATCATGCCACTGCTCTCCAGCCTCCGCAACAGAGTGAGACCCCATCTCAAATAAACAAAACAAAACAGGCTGGGCATGGTGGCTCGTGCCTGTAATCCCAGCACTTTGGGAGGCCAAGGCGGGCGGATAATGAGGTCAGGAGATGAAGACCATCTTGGCCAACATGGTGAAACCCCATCTCTACTAAAAGTACAAAAATTAGGTGGGCGTGGTGGCACGCACCTATAGTCCCAGCTACTTGGGAGGCTGAGGCAGGAGAATCACTTGAACCCAGGAGGCGGAGGTTGCAGTGAGCCAAGATCGCACCACTGCACTCCAGCCTGGGTAACAGAGCAAGACTCCATCTCAAAAAAAAAAAACAAACAAAAAACAAAAAACAAAACCAAACCCTAGTAGTGTCTACTGAGGCAGATAAGTCTGCTAGTAACTTGCTATTTGAGCTTGAACAAGTCCTGACCTCTTGCTTGCCCTCAAGATACAATGCTTTCTTCTTTCTAGCAGAAAGAACAAAGACCCCAAAGGAAAAAATCTCCTAGGAATAGTCCAATACATTCTTCCAACTGAGACATTCAAAAGCTTTACTCTTCCATCTCAAATGACAAAGCCCGAAAACAACTACACAGAAAAGCAGATGCACAAGAAGTTACAGAGAATTCCTGAAACTAAACAACTTCTCTCTCACCATTAAAGCGGTCAATGGCCTCTTGCCGCATGTTCCCAGTGATTCCACCATCGATGCGTTCGTATTTATAACCTTCATGTTCCAAGAAATCCTCTAGCAAGTCTAGCATCTTGGTCATCTGTAAAAGGAGCATGGTTTAATTATGGAAGAGTCAGATGGTAACCCTTTCCTGAGGTCACTGAGGGTTGTCTATGACTGTTCCCTAAAGCTCCCAGTCCACATGATACCTGGGAAAAGATGAGTACACGATGCCCACCCTCTTTAAGGTTCTTGAGCATTTTCTGCAGCAGCAATAATTTCCCAGATGCTCTGATTAGGGCACTGCCATCATACATGCCATTAGGCATCTTAGGGGCTTCCTGAGAACAAAAGCAAAGAAAAAAATATTAAAAGAAAGCACATATGGAGGAGTCCCAACCCAGGGAAAAACAGGAGGTGGCACTACATACCATTGCAGCCACAGGGAAGAGGTATGGATGGTTGCAGCACTTCTTAAGATCCATCACCACATTTAGCAGAGACACCTGGTTACCACCACCTCGGGCATTGAGTGCTTCAAAATTTCGAGTGAGGATGTACTTGTAGTATTTCCTACATGGCCAAGGTAGAAAGACAGGTTAGACCTGAGAGGCTTTCAGTGACTAATAATGCAGGCCCAACAACTGAGATCTTTCTTCCAACACATCCCACTTTGGCACTAAGGACACCTAACGCACAAGCACTACCACCACTATTTTAAATACGGAAAGGTATAACTTAAAATAAGTAAGAACCATGTGCTCCAGCGCCCTAGCATCAGGTTTCTTTAGGCCTTGCTTGCTTCTGTCACCAGATGCCTTGAAGCTGAGTGAAGGAGGAATAGGAAAGACTGCAGACTGGCAGATGTCTAAATGGAGTCTGTTTCTGTCCCTCCCAACTCACTTCTGCATAGGGCTCAGCTCCACACGCACAATTAGTTCTGTCTTGGAGGGCATATTCTTGAACACATCGGCTTTCAGCCGCCGCAACATGTGCGGCCCCAGCATGTCATGCAGTTTTTTTATCTGGTCCTCCTTGGCAATGTCAGCAAACTCCTCCAAAAAACCTTCCAAATTGCTTCAGAAAGAAAAAGGAAAAAGTTATTGGAGAAGGAGAAGGGAAGAAAGAAAAGTGATACAGGAAATGGGCAACAGGAAGAATGAGAAGCACAATTATGAGCCGATTACAGATAAACACATACTTACTGGAACCTCTCGGGGGTGAGAAAGTTGAGCAGATGAAACAACTCTTCGAGATTGTTTTGTAATGGAGTCCCAGTCAGCAACAACTTGTGCTGGAGTGAGTAACCATTCAAGACCCGGAAGAACTGGTGAAGCAGATGGAAAAATGTGAAATCCAATGAAAACACAGCTCTAGTAAATCTCTACCAAATTTCAAGTTTTTCACTGCCCAATAGTTAAGCATCCCACTCCTCACATTCTTTTTAAAGGCCTGGCCACCAAGGGCTGTCACATACAAGGAAAGAAGGCAGAGACAATTTTTCTCTCTCCTCTCCACCTGCAAATCTTCCCCTTAACAAATTGGGAGTACTAGAAAAAACTCAAAGTCAGGGCTCCACCATCCCTCCCTCAGCCCTCACCTTAGACTGATTGTTCTTCAGCCTATGGGCTTCATCCACGATGAGGCAGGCCCAATCAATAGAGCCCAAGATAGCCATGTCAATGGTGATCAATTCATAGGATGTCAGCAGCACATGGAATTTCACAGATGCCTCTTTCTGCACATGAAGGCAACTTGGTCACTACTAGTCACCTTCTCTCATGTAATCACAACCCGGGGACTGACGGAATGTTTTCCTCCTCCCAGGATTACCCTTTTGCCTCACCAAGGACCAGATCACAAGGAGGTAAACTAAGCCAGAAGCCGCAACTCTTTCTCTAGGGTGGCTTCCCTGCCCTGAGATACCTTCATGCGGGAGGCCTTCTTGCCGCCACGAATAGCATTGTCTTCAAAGGAGAACTCATTCTCTCGGATGATGGCACGGCTGTCCTTGTCACCCACATAGGTTACAACATACATGTCTGGAGCCCACATTTCAAACTCCCGCTCCCAGTTGATGATGGTAGAAAGAGGGGCACTCACTAGGAAGGGGCCTTTGGAATGACCCTTTGAGGAAGAAGAGGAAAGTCAGGACTGAGGGCCCCCGCACACTGCAACCCCAGTGAACACCCAGCACCCTGCTGTCCCCTCAAGCCGAGCCAAGGACTGACACCTGCGCTCCTGCTCCTGTTCTCACCTTCCTCCATACACATGCCCAGCCTGTGCCTTTCCAAAAAGACAAGGTCCCACCATAACTACAAGTCTTATCTCTCCCATTAAGTCTTTCTATACTTTTTTCCTGAGACGGAGTTTCACTCTTGTTGCCCAGGCTGGAGTGCAATGGTGCAATCTCAGCTCACTGCAACCTCTGCCTCCCGGGTTTAAGTGATTCTCCTGCCTCAGCCTCCCAAGTAGCTGGGATTACAGGCATGCGCCACCACGCCCGGCTAACTTTGTATTTTTAGTAGAGACGGGGTTTCACCATGTTGGTCAGGCTGGTCTCAAACTCCCGACCTCAGGTGATCCACCCACCTCAGGCTCCCAGTGCTGGGATTACAGGTGTGAGCCACTGCGTACAGCCAAGTCTTTCCATACTAATTCTACTCGTAATTCTACTTCCCTCAACACATAATCATTCCCCTAGAACTGAGACTCTACGGACCCACTGCTAATCCTACCCAGGGCTCCACACCCTCAAATCTTCTGCTGCGTACGTATGTTTATCCACTATCACATTTATCTACTATCTATTAAACACATGTGTACATGTGTTTATCTATTATCCATAGTGTTCTTGAAGGTCAGAGACCAATTTTTTTATTCCTTTATCTCTCTACTCAGAGTGTAAGTGAAGGCTTCAAACACAAAATATCCACACAAAAAAACTATCAGCCCCAGATTTCCTTACCTCCTTGTAAAGGGAATAGAGGAAGACTGCTGTCTGTACAGTTTTCCCAAGGCCCATCTCATCAGCCAAGATGGTGTCAGTGCCCTGAGCCCAGGAGAAACGCAACCAATTCAGACCCTCCATTTGATAGGGGTGCAGGGTTCCACCTGTAGCATCCAGGTACTCTGGCTGTCGCTCATACTTCACTGTTGGCTGAAGGATGAAACAGAGAAGTCAAGAGCTGGCAAGGAACTCCCGTCCTCCCCTAATACAGCAGCTGCTTCCTCCTCTCTAGTCTTCACTGATCCTCCTGGGGAAAAGCTACAAAAATTCTGAGGGAAGAGATCCCCTATAATTACTGCAATTTCATGTTCACTTTAGGGTCCTCCAGGAAACAGGGCTTAACCAGACAGATCTGATTTTGGTCCTACATATCACTGAGGAAAAACACATCACAGACTCCCTACCAATACAATAATTCTACTAGTCAGGATCTACCAGGTAAATAATGTATGTCCCTGTTAGATGAATCTTTTTAACTTTAATCACCCTCAAATTACACTGTACAAACAAAACCCAGAGGAACTGAGCCTGAATTAAGCTAGATTCCAATGTAAGTTCATAAAAGCTAGGCTATGTGACCCCTCCCCCTAGATAACACTTCTTCAGTCATTCAAAATACATCTCCTTTTTTTTTCTGATGACAAAAGAAGAAAGTAATCCCAGTGCTTTCTGATATATAGAGACATGGAGAAGTGGGGAAGCAGACTTGAAGTGATCTTTTCATTACCTAAGAGTACCATCATTAGACTGCAGCAAAGATACACTGTCCTACCCAACAATCTACCCTCCAGTCCCTTCCACTCCGACTCACATCAACTGTTGGCGTTTCTGGAGGTCTCTCCAACTTTCGAAGCTTCACCTTCTTGAGCTTCTTGCCTGGTCGGCCTTCCTCACCCCTCATTAACTCCCTAAAGAAGAAAGACGTCACGCAGCTGCCCAAAGTCCTTTTCTATAGAAGAAACAACTTGCCCAGGCACAGACGCTCACACCTGTAATCCCAACACTTTGGGAGGCTGAGGCAGGCAGGTCACCTAAGGTCAGGAGATTGAGACCAGCCTGGCCAACACAGTGAAACCCCGTCCCTACTAAAAATACAAAAATTAGCCAGGCGTGGTGGCAGACGCCTGTAATCTCAGCTATGAGGCAGGAGAATTGCTTGAACCCGGGAGGCGGAGGTTGCAGTGAACCGAGATCGCACCATTGCACTCCAGCCTGGGGGATAAGAGCAAGACTTCGTCTAAAAAAAAAAAAAAAAATTAGTTGGGTGTGGTGGTATATGCATATAATCCCAGCTACTCGGGAGGCTAAGGCAGAAGAATCGTTTGAACCAGGGAGTCAAAGGTTGCAGTCAGCCAAGATCATGCCACTGCACTATAGCCTGGTGACAAAGCGAGGCTCCATATTAAAAAAAAAAAGAAAGAAAAAAAAAAAAGAAATAACTCTATTCCTCACCCAAAATCACTCACCTGTGATTCCAATAGCTCTGCTTGAACAGGTCGTAATCCTGGATCTCCACATCCTCACTCTCCCAAGAAGCCTGATCATAAGGTAAGTCCCGCCACTTGATCAAGTAGTGGACGTGGCCCTTCTTGTCCACGCTGCAAGTCAAGGAGAAAAAACCCTCAGAGGCAGAAAAAGCAACCCTCCTCACTTGCTCTCAAAAACCGGCAATACCGTATGTTCCACACCAGACCTCTAGGTATGCCACAGATCACACGTTTTCAGAGCCTCTACTATACCAGTCTTTGACCAAAAATTATCTCTAATTTATACTTTCCTAGTTACACTCAAACACCAGAATTCAGTCAGTTAATAATTAACATAGAGTGTTGGCCAGGTGCAGTGGCTCACACCTGTAATCCCAGCACTTTGGGAAGCCAAGGCAGGCAGATCACTTGAGGCCAGGAGATCAAGACCAGCCAGGCCAACATGGCCAAACCCGTCTCTACCAAAAAAAATTAACCAGGCGTCAAGCCAGGCGCAGTGGCTCATGCCTGTAATCCCAGCACTTTGGGAGGCCGAGGCAGGCGGATCCCTTGAGGTCAGGAGTTTAAGATCAGCCTGGCCAATATGGTAAAACCCCGTCTCTACTAAAAATACAAAAATTAGCAAGGCGTGGTGGTGCATGCCTGTAATCCCAGCTACTCAGGAGGCTGAGGCAGAAGAATTGCTTGAACCCAGGAGGTGGAGGTTGCATCAAGCTGAGATTGCAGCACTGCACTCCAACCTGGGTGACAGAAAGAGACTCCATCTCAAAACAAAAAAAAATTAGCCAGGCACGGTGGCACACGCCTGTAATCAGAGCTACTCCAGAGACTGAGGCAGAGAATCACTTGAGCCTGAGAGGCGGAGGTTGCAGTGAGCTTAGATCATGTCACTGCACTCCAGGCTGGGCCACAGAGCGAGACTCTGTCTCAAAAAATAAATAAATAGCCCACACGCGATGCCTCATGCCTGTAATCCCAGCACTTTGGGAGGATGAGGCGGGCGGATCACGAGGTCAGGAAATTGAGACCATCCTGGCTAACACAGTGAAACCCCGTCTCTACTAAAAATAAAAAATAAAAAAAAAATTAGCCAGGCGTGGTGGCGATCGCCTGTAGTCCCAGCTACTTGGGAGGCTGAGGCAGGAGAATGGCGTGAATGCGGGAGGCGGAGCTTGCAGTGAGCTGAGATCGCGCCACTGCACTCCAGCCTGGGCAACATGTCCGTCTCAAAAAAAACCACAGTAATAAAATAAATAAATAAATAAATAAATAAATAAATAAATAACATAAAGTGTCAGGCGCAGTAGCTCCCGCCTGTAATCCCAACGTTTTGGGAAACTGAGGCAGGTAGCTTGCTTGAGCCCAGGAGTTTGGGACTGCTGTGAGCAGTGATCACGACACTGCACTCAAACCTGGGCAACAGAGCTAGACTTTGTCTCAAAAAAAAGCATGGTGGCTCATGCGTGTTAATCCCAGAACTTAGGGAGGCCAAGGCAGGCAGATCACCTGAGGTTAGGAGTTCAAGACCAGTCTGGCCAACATAGTGAAACCCTGTCTCTACTAAGAGTACAAAAATTAGCTGGGTATGGTGGCAGGTGCCTATGCCTAGTTACTAGGGAGGCTGAAGCAGGAGATTCACGTGAGCCCAGGAGACCAAGGTTGCAGCAAGCCAAGGTTGCACCACTACACTCCCGCCTGGGTAACAGAGCAAGACTCCATCTCAAAAAAACAAACAACCAAGTATGGTGGCTCACGCCTATAATCCCAGCACTTTCACCTGAGGTCAAGAGATCCAGACCATCCTGGCCAACATGGTGAAACCCCGTCTCTACTAAAAATACAAAAAATTAGCTAGGCGTGGTGGCTCGCGCCTCTAGTCCCAGCTTCTCAGGAGGCTGAGGCAGGAGAATCACTTGAACCTGGGAGGCAGAGGTTGCACTGAGCCGAGATCACACCACTGCACTCCAGCCTGGGCGACTGAGACTCTGTCTCAAAAAAAAAAACCAGTGTCTTCCAAATCTAAGTTGCCGGTGACATCCATTTTCCCAATCCCTTCAGCGGGAATCTCCCATGGAGACTGCCTATCTCCCATGTGCCCAGCTGGTACCTGTGGTTGAGGATTCGGTGGATCATCATCCACTCAGGTTTTATCCCATAGCGATAGAAGCGTTCCTCCATCTCTGCAAATTTAGGGTCCTTGTTTTTTCGTTTTCGGCTTTTTTCTTCATCACCACCAAAGTCCCCAGAAGGTGGCTCATCCATATCATTCTTCCGCTGATAGTTTCGGAACATCACCTGACAGTGCAGCTCCAGCTTGGAGCGGAAAGAGAAAATCAGCCACCAAGAAGCTGTGTTCATTCTTTCTATCCACAAGGCTCTTTTATCACTATTATATTCATCGTAGCCCCTACATCTCCAGCCTATCCTCAACTTACCTGCAGTTCAGAAACCCAGGAGCAGTGCCAGTAAGACATGCCTTGCCATTTCACAAAGAACTGCCGCTCTGGCCGCCCCTCCAAAGGCTTTGGGGAGGGCGTGTTGGGATCAGCATCTGGAGGCCGAGGCACTGGTGTGGGAGATGGTGGCTGACCCCACTTCCAAATTAGGATCTTCTGCACTTTGCCCTTCAGAGCTGGACACTGAGGGAAAAAGAGACAACTTAATCTCAAATCATAACCATGGGAGAAGGGACAGCCCACAGTCTCAACTTTACCAAAGGACGATTAAGATCTCATTTCAGGCCTGGAGCAGTGGCTCATGCCTGTAATCCCAGCACTTCGGGAGGCCGAGGCGGGCAGATCACGAGGTCAACAGATCGAGACCATCCTGGCTAACATGGTGAAACCCCGTCTCTACTAAAAATACAAAAATTAGCTGGGCATTGTGGCACGCGCCTGTAGTTCCAGCTACTCGGAGGGCTGAGGCAGGAGAATCACTTGAACCTGGGAGGCAGAGGTTGTAGTGAGCCAAGATTGCCCCACTGCATTCCAGCCTAGGGGACAGGAGAGAGACTCCGTCTCAAAAAAAAAAAGAAGATCTCATTTCAAATAAAATCTAATCCCAGGACTCCTCCAGGGAGAGAATACAGGTTGAGGACCCCTCATGTGAAATGCTTGGGACCAGAAGTATTTTGGATTTCCCACTTCTGGATTAGATACCTATCTAATCCTAACCTGTGATACAATTCTCTCTCCATTTCTGGATATCATCCAGGATTTCCGTGCCACTATCATTCCTATCTGCTTAACAAAGCCAGTAGTTAAGACTTCAATAAGCAGCCAAAAGAATCAGGAAATCAACAGACTTAAAGCACAGAATTCCTCCCTTAAGCAATCTAAAAGCAGTAAGTGGCCCTATTAAACATTCTAAACTGGCTGGCACGGTGGTACACACCTGTAATGCCAGCACTTAGAGAGGACAAGGGAGCAGAATAGTTTCAGAGCAGGAGTTCAAGACCAGCCTAGGCAACATAGTGAGACCCTGTCTTTACAAAGACTTTTTTTTTTTTAATTAGCTGGATGTGGTGGTATGCACCAGTACTCCTAGCTACTCAGCAAGAGGCTGAGATAGGAGGATCACTTGAGCTCAAGAGTTGGAGGTTGCAATGAGCTATGACTGCACCACTGCACTCTAGCCTGGATGACAGAGTGAGACCCTGTCTCCAAAAAAAAAGTTTTTTAACAAAAAAATTAAAAACATTGTAAGCTACCAAGACCCTGAGGCAGGGTGTCAACACAGAGACACATGTTCTCAGCTAGAAGAACATTGCTTCATCTCCTCTTCAGAGAGCTGGCAAAACATCAACTCCTCTGTTTGAGGTCAGTCCTACATTTTCCCAGGACAAAAGTATCCCAACACTATAGGATAAAGGAAAATACCTTTCTCAGGGTTGAAAAGCTCACAGTTCCTCTCCCGCACCCCAGCTTCACAATACCCTACATAGAAAAGACTACACTTTCCACATCTTTTGCCCTGGCTGAGATCAGTCACTCACCGTACAACGGGGACAGAGCCATTCACCGTTGGGGATCTCTGGAAGTGGGGGATTCAGGCAGTGGATATGGTAGGAAGAAGGACAGGTATCACAGCAGAGCAGCTCCCCACCATCCTTGCAGACCCGACAGAATTCCATATGGTGGTCATCCTCCTCTTCGAGGTCTCCCCCAACCTCTTCCAGGATCTCCTCACCCTCCGAATTGTCCTCTTTAGCTTCCCACTGGATGCCTTCCTTCTCCTGCAGTAAACGACCACAGATTCAGATTATTACCCCCACCCACCCACCGAAGTCTGAAGCCAGTACCCATCATTCCTTTGAATGCTTCCCAAAGCTCACAACCCGCAGCACCAGCATTTCGATTTCCATCCAGGCCCCAAAGAGCTTTACTGTCCCACCCTTCTTCTCATGAGTTCCAAGGGGCCACAATGACCAGACACTCACGCAGTGTGGGCAGCTCCACTTGCCCTCAGGAGCCTTCTCCATGTCGGGATCCAGGCAAACCATGTGGTAAGCTCGGGGACAGGTATCACACAGGATGATCTCACCGCCTTGCTGGCACACCTCGCAATAGTCCTGGTGGTCTGTCTCATAACCATCCACAGCAGTCACCTCCTCCTCGCCTGGGCAAGGAAGAGGGAAAGCCCAGTTATTAGAAAAAAACTACCTCCCCCCACCCCCAACCCCTATCTCCTTAGGGAGATTCTTCCCCAATCACTCCCACCTCATCCCATCACAAATATACAGAAGAGAAACACACCTTTCTTTTTCTTTTTAGTGGTTCGGAGTTTCTTGCGGCTGCGGCTACTACGGCTGGTGGAACCATCAGAAACAGAATAGCTATTGATACTGGCATCATCGAAGTCAGATTCCACATCTAAGTCATCATCCTCACTCTGACAGGATGAAAAAGAATAAGGTTAGACATTCAAGCCAAGGGGAAGGAAAGAGTGGCAGACAAGGGAGTGCTCTCTCACTGAGGATACCAGAATCCCAGCAAGCACTGTTATACAGGGAGCCGAGTCTCATCCTGTTCTGTGGGCAACTCCCCACATTCTTATGTGCCTACTATGAAGGACAGGTCCTGATATAAGGTCACATCCTTTCTAGTATACATGGAACCCTCCCTAAAGTGATGGGCTGGGCTCTCACCGAGGATCTCTTACGCTTGGAACCAAAACCTCCCAGCTTGATTTTCAGGGGAGCTACTTTCTTGGGTTTAGGCTTCTTGGCATCGGGTACACGAGGGCTGCCCTTGGGCTTCCTCCGAGCATTGGGACCTAAAATCAGGATACATCCAAATATATAAAATACCACATCACCAAAGATGGGAAAAGATCTTCCCCACATTCAGATGCCCAAACTTCCCTCCAAAATTCAAGACTCACTCCTCCCTCCTATCTCCTACCTTAGGGCTGACAGAACACCATTCCCATGCTCTGTCTTTGACATCTTAAGCCCACACTAGACACCCCCACTCCCATTTGAACCCCATTTCACCTTTGCCCTCCTTGGTCTTGGCCTTGCGGATAGGCACCTCCACAGGGGGAGGTGGTGGTGCAACCTCAGTGGCTGTCACCATGCTCTCCACCACAGCCACCGCTGCTGCTGCCGCAGCTGCCACTGATGCCCCAGAACTGCCTTTGAAGGGATTGTTGGTACTGAACTCCCGCCATTTTGCACCCAAAACCATCATCATCTTGGAGACAGCAATCTTGGGATTTTTTGCAGCAATGAGGGGTCTGGTGGAGAAATGGAGAAGAGCAGAGGAAAATGTTTAAGAATAAAAGAGGCCGGGCGTGGTGGCTCAAGCCTGTAATCCCAGCACTTTGGGAGGCCAAGACGGGTGGATCACGAGGTCAGGAGATCGAGACCATCCTGGCTAACACGGTGAAACCCCGTCTCTACTAAAAATACAAAAAACTAGCCGGGCGAGGTGGCGGGCGCCTGTAGTCCCAGCTACTCGGGAGGCTGAGGCAGGAGAATGGCGCAAACCCGGGAGGCGGAGCTTGCAGTGAGCCGACATCCGGCCACTGCACTCCTGCCTGGGCGACAGCGCGAGACTCCCTCTCAAAAAAAAAAAAAAAAAGAATAAAAGAAAGAAAGAGAAGAAAGAAGAGATAATAGAAAGACTCTCCTCCCCCTTCCGCAAGCCCCTCCTGTTTTACCTGACAAACTGGCTGAAGGCCTTGTAGTTGGTGAGGGTTCGATAATCCTCCTCTGAGAACACGTGGTCAATGTCTTCCATGCCCCAGTCTTCCAGGAGCTGAGCAGATGATTTAGGCTCCTGCAGAAAGAGCAAAGTCAAGCACCTGCCACCTAGTGCCCACACCTGCTAAACAAATTTGTACTGAAAAACCAGAGTAACAGAGTTAAAAGGAAAAGAAAAGAAAGTGTTCTAAAGGGCAGTAGGATGTCTAAGAAACAAAAGAACAAAAGTTTAACTGTACAAAGAAGAGGATGCAGGTCCAGGCACCTTTGAATCATCATCATCGTCATCCTCCTCCTCCTCCTCCTTCCGCTTGGATTTGCTCTTCTTCTCTTTCTTAGGTCCAAGCTTCTTCTTCTTCTTCTTACCAGGGGTATAGTCGCTGCCCTCACTGTCTGAGCGCAGAGCCACCTCTTCCTCCTCCTCCACAAACTCTGGCCCCTCCCCAGAGCTGTCCCCCAGCTGCCGGCATAAGAGCATACGCTGGAGCAAGGAAAGGGGGGGAGAGGGAGACAGACACACACATGCTACACACATGCTGACCTCAGGACAGCCCTGAGGCTCATCCCCAGAACCTGGCCCACCACTCCTAAGAAAGAAACAAATGCCCTCAGTCCTTCAACCCTTCTCAGAGCTCCTCCCTTCTTCTTCTGGTTCCCCGTAACATTCAGTCACCCACTCACCTCCTTTTTTTGGCGCTTGCTCTTAGGGATTTTAGGGTCCCGAGGTTTCTTAGGCTTTTTCTTCTTCTTGAGCTTTGGAGTCTCTGTTTCTGACAAATCCTCTTCTGGGTCCTCTTCATTTTCTACATGTATTTGGCAAAGAGTGGTAGGCAGGGAAAAAGATCAATAGCAAAAGGTTAGGCCCTAATCCAGAGGCTTTAGACTTTATTCCCCACCTCTTGTCCCAGATTCCTCTGAAGAGAACTGCTATACTCTGTACAGAAGGAAGCCGATACCCAGGACAAAAACAGACAAAGAGAGAGCTGTATATACCCAAAATAGGCCTGCCAGGCCAGACCAGGCCCACCTCGGGCAGCTGTCCAGACCCCTGCCTCCTCTCTCCCCATTCCTACCAGCAATCCTCTAGATGTTCACCAGCACAGCTGAACTGAGCTGCTTAGAGTTCACCATGTAAGAGAACTAGATTTAGGCCTCCTACAACTGGCCACCAAGTATTCTATAAACTAGGGAATGAGAATGAAAGATCCTACTCAGAAAGCAAAAACTATACAATATACCTTCCCAGAACAGGATCAGTTCAGGGGTCTCGGAAACCACATCCTTCTCCAACCACTTTGAAATCATCACTGCTCAAATTAACCAGAACCTCTAAGTCCTAGGTTCAGGTGCCAGACCAATCTCATGCCCACTCCTAAAATACAATTTCCTTTCCCCATCTCCAACCCTAATGTTCCTCCTCAGCTTCTCCTGGGTCAGCAGCCTCTTCTCCCTAGGGGCCCAAATCAGCCCAGCTGTCACCATCTCCCCCTGCACCCGCCCCCCAGCAATCCTCCTCCCATCTGGCTCCACCTCCTCCCCTGGCTGGAAGCACACACAAAGCCTGGGGTAATACTGAAAGCTCCTGGGCAAGGATAGGTGGGAAGGGGCACACAGAAGGCCAGGAGGCAGCTTCCTTTGTAACAGACATTCACACCAGACTCCCTCCTCCCTCCTCTCTCTCCCTCTTTCCAAGCCACCCCCGCCCAAGTTGGGGAGGGGGGGTAGAGAAAGGAGTGGAGAGAAGAAGGGAGTGCCTCACCCACTGAAGAGAGGGAAAATGGCTCCTGACCGCAGAAGCCAGTCCAGGGCACCCAGCTGCCAACATAGGACAGACAGGAAGTGGCAGGGGAGGGGGCGGGGTTGACAGGGGGGGCGGGGTTGACAGAGGTGGGGCAGGGGGGAGACTGCCCTCATAGAAGCCTCCCCAAATTATTACCTGGCCCCAAGTCCAAATGCCACCTACTCTGGGATGACACGGTTCACAAGAGGCCACCCTAATGTCCTAAGCAAGGAAACCCAAGGAGAGTGAGACAAACATGAAGGTAATACTAAGGGAAGAACTCGATTACTCCCTCGATCACAATTATTTTTTCAGTCATCAGAGCTGAGATTTAACAAAGGCTCAGTGGACCTGTGGTCAGGACATATAACCTTCTCCCCAAATTTCTGATACCCAAAAGATTTAGTTTGAGGAATGGAGGCCCACAAGAAGCCTCTGAAGCTCAGCTTCCTCACCCCCCCACCCAGAGTCCTATCCAACAAATACGGGAATGTCTGCACAAAAAAAAGGAGCAGGACCCAGACAGTGGTAGAAGATAACATCCCGGCCGGGTGCAGTGGCTCATGCCTGTAATCCCAGCACTTTGGGAGGCTGAGGCGGGCAGATCATTTGAGATCAGGAGTTCGAAACTAGCTTGACCCACATGGTGAAACCCCATTTCTACTAAAAACACAAAAATTAGTCGGGCATAGTGGTGGGTGCCTGTAATCCCAGCTACTGAGGAGGCTGAAGCAGGAGAATCGCATGAGCCAGGGAGGTGGAGGTTGCAGTGAGCCAAGATCGTGCCACTGCACTCCAACCTGGGTGACAGAGTGAGACCCCGTCTCAAAAATAAAAAAGAAAGTAATATCCCTCCTTCAATGCCTGACATGCTCTTAGCTCTTAACCCCCAAAATTAGCCCTAAAATGTCTCTGGCTCCCCACTTCTTGAGCTAGACAGACACTAGGGAATGAGACATTAGGCTGGACAAAGCACCATCAGCCTCCCTGCTTCTCAGCCCAGAATAAGACCAGGCACAAGAAAGCCCCTCCCATTCCCCCTTGGGAATGGAACACCAGCCCAGATTTCACCAGAATCATTTTCTTCAGGGCTTTTCCCCAACAATCCCCAAGTCAACCCCCAATCCCCATCAGCTAGCTATATCTCACCACCCCCATAAAAGCTGGAAGTGGAGATAAAGATAACCCATAGAGGCAAAGGGGACATCCTTCCATGCACATGGAACCCCCAAACTTCTCAGGCAAATAATATGCTGAAATGGCAAACAACAAACTGACTGAGATATAGAGGAAGATTTGGGAAAGGGACAGGAATGGGGTGTGGCAAGTGGAAAAAGTGGGTCATGCTACAGCTCAGGACAGAGTTCACAGCTCCTGCGCAGCTCCCAGTCAACATGAAAGGCAGCCCCAGCCCAAGGGGACAATGGGAGGCCAAGATGTGGAACCCACAATGTCTAGGCAGCACTACTGTTTCTCATGCCCCTCTCAGAAGGACGGGGTCCCCTTACCAGCACCACCACCCTGCCCTCACCTTGGGCAAGGGCATGGAAATCTGCCCCTCTACCCTACACAAGGATGAAACCAAGTTTCTCATCCCAACAGCCAAGACTCCATGACAACACTAACCCCTCTCCTAAATGGCCTCAGGTTGAAGTCAAGACTTCCAACTTAAAAAGTACCAAATGTGAAAGCATCTCTCCCAGACCACCTCAACTTCCACTGAAGCTAAGAAGAGAGAAGGCAGAAGTGAATGATGCTGGATGAGAAACAAAAACAGGATCAGCAGGCTCCAAAATGAGAAGAAAAGTAGAAGCAGAAGGAATGAAGAAATGACACATAGGAAAAAAAATGAAACTAGAAAACATGAAGGTCAAGGAAACAAGTAGATGACTTAGCTAGGGGCTCTGAGAAAGGACACAGAAGAGAAAGACATCTGCTTAGGAACATGACATCAACCATCATTTGAGAATAGACAAGGGCTCCCCCAATCAGGCAATGTAGTTATAACCATACGGGTTTGGCCAGTTCATGGAGCCACCCCAAAACACAGATAGAGCAACCCCTAGCACACCTACACAGACGCTTCACACTGCTAGCCTAAACCCCAGGCTACCTCATAGAGGCAGAAGCCAGTAGGAAAAAAGCCAAAATTATGTCCACTCACCAAGAGAAGAGAGATGCCCTCCCTTCTTTTGCCCCTCTTCACTAGGCTATTACATCCTTCCCGAGCCCCCATCACTTCCCCACTCAAAACATTCCAGCAATCTGCCTAGCTAAAAGCACTCCAGATCCTGCTGAGGAGCGCGATTCAAACTTCACACAGCTGAGACAGCACAGAAAACCGGTAACTGATCAGAAGCTAAAAATAATCAGATAGAGTGTAACCAGCACTCCCTCTTTCTTTTCCACAGCAGCAACCACAGGATCCTACTAGCACAGATGCCGGGCTGGTCTTTCAAACAGAATCCTCAATGCCCGGCTCCGCCACCACCACAAGCCTCCAGGGGTCCCAGCTACCTGCATTCCTCCGAGGACCCACACACAAGGTAATGCCTGCCAGCTCAGAGAGCTCCCTCAACTGGGAACTGCAGAGCATTCCTCAAGACAGAGTGCAGCAAGCTGGCATCTCCGTCCGCGGTGCCCAGGAGGCACATGGCTTCCACCCCCCTCACACCAGAGCTCCGCAGAAGGGAACCACTCCCTTCGGATGCCCTCCACCTCCGGCTCTGCACAGAGACAGCCGAGCAACACAGTCCTGCCTCACCAGAGCAGTCACTCGGGAGAGCCCCAGATGCCTCCTTTCCGCCCTGGGCCCTTGGGGAAGATGTTACCTGGGTGGGGTGGGGGCAGGCTGTTGTTCAAAAGTGCATCCATATCCTCCTCCTCACTGCCCGCCGAGCAGGGGGACGGGGAGCCCAGGCCCGACGCCATCCCCTTCCGCTCCCGGCCAGGGAATTGGCCCAGCTGCTCCTGCCGGCGGCCTGGGGCCCTCTACACTGGCCCGAGTCACTGTGCGGGGGAGGGGGGAGAAACAGAGAACAGTCAGTGACGCGCACTGTCCCCCTCCCCCACACCCACCCGCTCTTTCCGCCCCCCACCCCAGCCACCCTAGCAGGGCACCCGAACCGCTCAGGCTGAACTTAGTTCCACACTCCTTGGGGGCAGCCCGGAAGCCGGCTCCCCGGCAGGCGCCCCCACGGAGCGAGGGAGCTACGCCTCCGAGGGCAGGCTGGTGCAAGCGCGGGGAGGGGAGACGCCGGGCTGGACCGAGCGGGGTGTGACGGGGGAGGGGGTCCGAGTGGCAGCGGCACGGGGGAGCCAGGGGAGGCAGCAGGCGGCGAAGCGCTCTGGGACACAAGGTCACTTGGGGGTGGGGGGGCGCCTCCCTGCGCCCGGGGAGGGGCCAGTCCCCAGACAGGGCAGCTCTCCAAAGGCTGTCCTCTGGGACAACTCAGGTTCTCCTCAAGAGCTGCGGGGACGAGGGGGCGTGGAGGCTCGGGCGCTGCGGGGGGCCGGAGGCAGGGACGCGGGGGGCGAAAGCGTCCCACCGGGAAGGGGGCCGGGCCACGTGTCCCGGGGGGGAAAGTGATCAAAGGGCGAGGGGATGGGCGCCGGGCATTGTGGGAGACCAAGCCGGAGGCGGGGGTCGCGGGGAGCAAGACTCCGGCAGGGTTAGGGCGGGTGCTAGGGAGGAGGCCGGGCGCCCTGCAGGCCAGGAAAGGAAGGGTCGGCTCCTCTGGGCAAGGGGCGGTCCGCGGGTCCGGAGACGCCTAAGGAAGGGGCGGGTGGACGGGATGACCCTCGGGGCTGGTCGGGCCGTGAGGGGCGTCTCTTTGGGAACCCCGCGCTATCCTCACCCCGGAGCCGCCGCAGGTCGCGCTGGGTCCGGCTCAGTGTCACTCCCGCTCCAGCTCCTCCTCGCCGCGGCCGAAGGGGGGAAAATGGCTCCGGCTCCGGCGTCGCCTCTTAAAGGGCCTGAAACACCGGCCGGGAAATCCCACCGCACAGGCCCCGCCCCCCCACGGACAGCCCATAATAACCTCAACCAACTCCAACCCCCCCTTCCACTACCGCCACCCTCCTCCCCAGGTCTCCCGGGCAACCCCCGCCCCCTCGTCGCTCAGGCAACCACTGGCCACGCCCCCTTCGAGCGCGCGCGCGCGTGTCACCTGGGCAACCGCCCACCTCCTGGCCATCCCATAATACACACGGACATCCCCCCCCCAAAACACACACACACACACAACACACACACACACCCTGCCCCCCCACATTTCATACACATATGCCAGGGGCTGCTGACATCTCATAATATTGCAGACCTTTTGCAACTAACCCTCTTAGACATCCCATAATAGCCATCCTTTGCCAACTTCTTCACTCTTGGCCCTAATGCTAACATCCCATAATAATTCACCTCTCCCTCCCCATGGCCATCCCATAATAAGCACCCCTCCCAGCACTTATGCCTCATATCCCATAATACTCAGCCCCATCCCCCACAGACATCCCATAATAACCATCCTTCATCCACCCCCAGTTTGACATCCCATAATAGTCTGAAACTCACCCCCCCCATACTACAACAACGGACACTCGGCCTCCTCCCACACACATCCCATAATAATCAGTCTCCCACTTTCTATACTGACATCCCGTAATAACTAACCCCCTAGGGCTGCCCTCAGTCCCTGCAGGCTAGGGTCTAGAGGCTCACGTCACCCCCACCCTTCCCTCTTCTAGCTCCACAGCCTATATAGTAAGTACCCCTCCTCTATCAAAAAGATAACCCGTAATGATCAACAGCCCTACTGTCGCCCCACAGATGGACATCTAATCTCTTTTCCTCTGACACTGGAAAGCTATCCCATAATAATTTTACTCTCCTACCCACATCCTGACATCCCATAATAATTGCAAGGAGCCCGTGGTCAACCAAACATACCGTAATACTCCCAACACAACCCAGTGTCACATCCCATAATGCTTCATCTCCACTCCACCACCCCTATACCCTTTGAGCCAGGCATCCCATAATATTCATATTCTTCCCACCCCCATCTCCAGGCGCTGTCAGTCTATTCTAACACCCAAAGCAGGGAGGGCCAGGCAGGCTACCCACGCTTCCCTGTCCCCGCCCCCACTTGCACACACCTTAATCCCTTTCTGGGCCAAAGCAGTATCCTGGCAAAAAGCCTCCTCATGTCTGGGACCCCAGCTTCCCTCATACCATCATTTCCAGACACTTGGGGGCTAGAAGCCCACCTAGGGCCCCACCTAGTCCCACCAAAATCCAAGTATTTTCCAGATGCTTACCTCCAGCTCCTAAGTTTTGAAGAACACCAACCAACCAAAATACCAAGCTGACAGATGAAACATTTACATGAAGTCTAATTCACCCTACAACATCCCATAATAATTACCAACTCCCATCCAAAGACTATCTCTCAACATTCTAGCAATCCTCTCCCTCACCACACCCCCAGGTCAGGGACCTTTCACCAACACCCGCAGGCCACTCCGGTGAATGGACATGGCATTATGATGTGAACTCAGGATCCTTCTCTATACACACTGAGAGTAGAGGCCTGCCCTCCCCCTACTCACCACTGCTCATGTTCATTCAACCTATGTTGACAGAGTACCTAGCAAGGTGGAGCTGCGCACCATGAAGAAACAAGGAAGACCAGGGGGCCTCGCTTCAAAAAGCATAAGCAACCAAGCAAACTATGATACACGACAGACAGAATGGTGCCAAGGGAGAACTGCTGAGCACTATTTCCCAATTTCCTGTTACAGCAAATAAAATCCCCCTGGTCCCAAGAGAGAACATATCCCAGTAAGATTTATCGTGGTCCTTCCAGAGGAAGATGATACTTAAAGGATTTATGGATATAGACCATAGTCAACATGATCTCCTATCTGTTCCCTACTTACTAGGGGATTTTTATTGGAAAGCAAGTTCATCCATCCAGTGTTTCTAATACTGAAATCCTATAATATGTTCATGTCCTTCCTTCTTAAGAGACTCCACAATATGCCAGCATTGTTTCTCCCATTCTTGAACACCAAATCCTCCTTATCCTCGATGTCCCATATTTTTCAGACACTTTCCCATTTTATATTCTGAAGTCTCATAATACCTCCAATGGCCTCCATCCTCATCTTGTTGGGGCCCCATTCTCCACCTCAAAATAAAAAATCTTTCAGTTGTGTAATGTTCCCCATCTTCCCGCCTGTATAGAAGTCAATCTTCCAGCGGGGCACGGTGGCTCATGCCTGTAATTCCAGCACTTTGGGAGGCCAAGGCAGGTGGATCACAAGGTCAGAAGTTCAAGACCAACCTGGCCAAAATGGTGAAACCCCATCTCTACTAAACATGCAAAAGCCTGATGTGGTGGCACACGCCTGTAATCGTAGCTACTCAAGGGCTGAAGCAGGAGAATTGCTTGAACCCAGGAGGTGGAGGTTGCAGGAAGCTGAGATCGCACCATTGCACTACAGCCTGGGCAACAGGCGAGACTGTCTCAGAAAAAAAAAAAAAAAAAAGAGTCAACATTCCAGGAGGCCTACATTGAATTATGCCCCAAGGTAGCCCTCCAGCATATACCATCCCCTTCCTTATTATGCCTACCCTCCAGCCACCCTATGGACGCAACCCTAGAAGTTGAAAAAACCCAATTTTGTTTTGTTTTGTTTTGAGAGACAGGGTCTCAGTGGCGCAATCACAGCTCACTGCAGCCTCAACCTCCTGGACTCAAGTAATCCTCCCACCTCAGCCTCCTAACTGGTAGCTGGAACCACAGGCACACACCACCACACCCAGCTAAATTTTAAATTTATTGTAGAGACGGGGTTTCACTGTGAACTCCTGGACTCCAGTGATCTTCCTGCCTCAGGAAAGAGCCCAATCTGAAAACCCTTTGGCCCTCAGAAAACCTGAGCCCATCAGCCTGTCACTTTTCCCTCTTCCTGAAGCCCAGGGATTCAGGCCTGAGTGAAAACCAATGTCCCAGCACCACTGCCTTGCTGCCCTGACCCCAGGCCAAGGATAACATCTCCCTCTGCTCATTTGCCTTTTTTGCATGGGTCCAAGACCTATGGAAGTGGGACGAGTTGAAAAGAAACTGGAACTTCCTTGTAGAAAGGGCCCTTTCTAACCAGTAGTGAGTGGGATGAACCTCATGCCATCTCTGCATTATCCTTCTCATCTCATTTCCCTAGAGGAAGGCCTGGCCAGATGGCTTTCCCCTTCTCTAGGATCCAAGGGACTGGAGAACTGGCACAAAGAAACAAGTTCAGGGAAGGCAAGAGCTTGCCTCAGGGAATTACAATCCCTCTGGTCCTGAGCAGAACACCAGAGACGCAGACAGGTCTTCCACTAGCTCCTGGCTGACTTTGTAAACCCACTAGCATTCCACATTTAACTCTCATCTTAGGACTGGAGTTTTCGGCATCAAAGACATCAGGTCCTGTCAAAAGCTCCCTCTGTCACCTTTGAAGTAGGTGTTTTCTTTTTCCAACCTTCCCTTCAGCTCCTTGGCCCACCCTCTTACTGTACTCATTGTGGCAAGCGGGCCATTCTCCTCCGTTCTGCAAGTCTTCCAGTTTCCCTAGTTAAATGCTCTTGACATCAAGACTGGGCCCCATTTACTTACCCAAGCCCTCTCCCATACTTATTCTGAGTACTAAGAATGAAACTTCTGTTCCACAACGGGCAGTGAGGAGGCAGCTCTTTTCAGATATCATGATGTGGGGACACCTCCTTTCAGGGAAGTTTCTCCTTCCTACAGAGGGCTGCCAGATGCCTCTTGTGCCCTCTTCTACCCTCATTTCTCCAGGGGATTCAGCCTGTCTCTGGGCCTCAAATTCCCCTCTGCAGTATCTCCATCTGCCCATACCCATACGCTCATTTCCACAGTCATCTGTCCATATAAACCAGTAAGAGAGTGTTTAACTGGGTAGTCACAGCCTCCTGCCCGTGACTAAAAATATCCACATTTTATTTATCCATATATCCTTTGTCCACTATCACCCTGTGTCCCTGTTCCTGTAGGTTCTACCCACTTCTTCCTTTGCTGCTCTTGTTCCCCACCTCTCCCTGACACCACAACAAGGAGAAAGTTAAAATCCCTTCCTCTCTTCTTGAGTTCCAGAAAGGGCTCGGAGGTGTGTGCTGGTGTGTTGCTTTGTGGTCCTTATGCTTCTACGCTTCCCCTCCCTCCTCTAGCCCCATGCTACCCTCCCAGATAAATTATAAATAAACCACTAGCATGATTGGCCCAGGGAGACTAAGGGTGGGATAATCTCCTAATTAACGCACCCAGGAGGGCAGCCTCTCTAGCCAGTTACCTTAGAGTTCTGTTTTCATCCCATGGTACAGAAGAACCTAGAATAACACTCAGAGTGGGTCGTTCACGGAGTTTTTCGCATTTGCTCTATAACTCCTCTCCTTACACCTCTGTTTTGCGTGAACCTGAAAAACTCTGTTTATAAGAGGTCCAAGGGGCCACAGTGTTCTCCTGCTCTGTCAGAAGAGGGGATTTTGGGAGACAACAGAGGGAAGAAAAGCCACAGTGACAGTACACTCCAAAGGCTAGACAGGATGCAGATCACGTGGGGCTTGGGGGTGACATGCCAGGTGTTTGTATCTCAGGAGGCAACCTAGGCTCTCTGTTCTTTGGGTGTGACTGCAAGGTAGCAAAGCGCCCCATGCACAACCCCCCAACCTGAGCTATGGTCCCCGGGCTCAAACCCAGGAAGACAAAGATGGAAGGAAGATGGGTACTATTGCCATCTAGGAGTACTACTCCCTTTGGTATGCCACCCGGCCAGAACCTCTCAGTTCTCACTTGCAGCGCAGCACTGCAGGCGACGGACTCACAGGGTAACCCTGTATCGCACAAGCTGTTCAACGGACCCAGGTGTCCAGGGTTCAGATTTGGCTCGCTGGAGCCTGCCTCAGGGGCCCCTTCAAACAGCTGTCACCAAAGAAACCTCTCCAGCCAGTTACTCCTGCCAGGCCTCAG